TTACTGCTATCTGTAAGAAGATTCATTTAGACATTTTTCTAGTTTTATTTTAAAACTATCATAGAAAAAAGACATCAAACCTCCAATTTTAATTCGGAAATTTGCTGAAATATCACATCTATCAGTTCTGCAGTCATGAAAGTTTAATAAAAGTAAAGCTGATAAAATTTCTAGATTCTTGGCATTCACAGTTGAGATTTGTGATAGTCAGAATAAAGAAATGTATTGAAGTGATAGAAGGAGAGTGAAGAAGAAAGAGAGTGAAGAAATAGAAGAGAAAACAATTGACAATTTTAGTTATCTGCTAATTAGAGAAATTTACCTGAACAATTTTTCTTTAATTATTCATAATTATATCTGTCTATTGTGACTAAATGAGTATTGAATATATAAATATATATATTTATATGTAGTCGATGAGTCCAAGGATTTGTCTTGGCAAAGAGCCAAGATCGTTCCTTAAACATTCCTCTATATTCTTTACGTTTCCTTATTGTTATTTTTAAATATGTTAGTTTAAGACAATATCACTTTTCCTACATCATTCACTCATGACAAAGCTACCTTTAATTATTATGCAATATTATTACTATAAACTTTAACGCGATATATAAGTAAAAGTTGGAGACTAGCGATAGCTTACAATCGTGACTCATTCGACTACTACAATAATTAAAGGTATAATAAATTTGAAATGCGGAGGAAGAGACAAATTCCAACCGAAACGGTTGCTAAATACACCAACGCTCCAAATCAGCTGGAGACCACAACTCAACTGTCCGATGTGGTCGACTCCCTTGATGAGAAATTGGAGGAGAAAAAAAAGAGGGTTCGAGGAAAGATTTTTGGAAGCAAGTACTCAAAACATAATGGAGATTAGCGCAATGGAGGATAGAATGATGACACGAATGGAGCGCATCAGCCAAATGATAGGATCCGTTCAATCAGATTCAACTAAAGAATCATGTAAGTCACCCATCCATAATCACAAAACTGTGGAGAAGGAGATAGAGGCCTGGGAGCTGGAAAGAGCACAACGTTATTTATTGAAGTTGGTTCAAAATACCATGCCGCTGACGAAGCTTTAAAAACCCTACACACTGTCTTAGGAGGAAGATAGGATCTACATTATTCTGGGAAGATTAGATGATTCACATGAAAAAGGAAAGATTATAGTAGGTGCTCGCCACTCTATAATTAGTAAACTAATATACCACTTGCACCATGAAATGCATCATACCTCGCTGAGGACTATCTGGACAAATCAATCAGAATACCTACATATCCTTTATGCTACAACTGGAATTAAAACGTATTAAGATTGAAATTATTCCTAGCAACGAACCATCAAAGAACCGTACTGAAGACCGAATTTCAAATATTCATGCCTAATGGAATTGGCCAAAATCGATTATTTCAGATTTGGCTTCAACCTTAAAAAACCATTTAAAATTATCAATGCCCACTCTAACAGCCAGTCGAAAGTGAGAGACCTCAACTGGAAGTTTAACTCTCCTTACTCTCCCCATAAGATGACAATTATTGAAATAATCATCAGATTAATAAAGGAGATAATGATCAGAAAAAAAACATACAACTCGAATGGGATACTATTCGTCTCACCAGCCCGGCAATCGAGAATCTGATGTACTATCCTCCTGTAAGCTTCGGGATTGATGATCTAGGGGAACCAATGACGCCATCAACCTTTGATTTCATCAAGCTAAGCAAACTGTCCATCAAGAACGGTGAATATGACCCCGCTGTTATTTCTAAAGAACGCCAAGGTTTAAATTCAAGATGTTGCACAGAGCTATTTAATAACATGCACAAGAAAACAAAATGGTATAAAGACAAATATAAGCTAAATCTTCGACCCAACGACCTCATCCTATAACTGGACCAAAGATATATGTACAATTTCAAGTTGGGATACATCAATCACAAGATTACAGAACGTACCTTCGAGATCTACACTGCACATAGCAATATCGAGAGAGATGCAAGAGACATAATTCCCTATTCACCGAATGAGTCCTAAGATATATTGTTTTTGTATTATGAAATTGCTGACAATCTCGTTTCAATTTTATTTGTAACCTCCGTTGTTTCTTTCACACTATTCTGTTGCATTTATTCCTTATTATACTCACCTTGAGTTTTGTTTATGTCCTTTTACTGAGTGTTTGACTCTACTCGTCTATGATGCCACGTCTGCAATTTGACTTGATTTGTGACCAAGCTCACCAACAACACCGTGAGCCCAAGTCACCCATCCAATTACTACTTGTTGGTTTACATTTCCATCATCGATTGAAATTTGGTGCTAAGCACTAGTTTTGAGATGTGTTAGTGTTAAGTCAAATATTGTTCATGTCGGGTTTCAATGGATGAGCTATGGTAAATTACTGCATTTTACTTTTAAGGGTATCTAAGATTACAGAATTTTTTGAGATCAAATTTTATCAATAAAATAGAATAAAAATACCATAAGATGTTATGGCTAAGAAGAAAAATATTTTTGTCAGCAAATTAGGCCTAATAAAAGTGTTAGGTAAATAACATATAAGAGATAGGAATTTGAAATATGTTTGATTCTTTTAATAAAATAATAGATTACAAATGGAAAGTAGAATAAAGATTATTACAAATTAAGGAGTAGGTCCATTTCCACTTCCGCTACTTGATTTGTAAAGTAAAAAGTATAATAACAATACTAATAATAACTAATAATTCATTTTCATTTTTGCCCTCTACTTGCAAGTATGTCTCGATTTACGAATATTTGTAAAACATTTCTATTCCTCTATTATTGTTCATTTTTTTCTGTAATTTAAATTAAATATGAATATCTACAGTTTAATATTTTTAACTTTTGGGATAAGTTTGATAAAAGAGAAATTAACTTCTCTTCTTTTTCGTACAAAAGATTTTAAAAACAAAACAAAAATGACTAAGAAAATCCTAGAAAAAAACTTGCTATTCAACATCCTTTGTAAAAAAATTGAATAATATTTAGTTATCAATTTTTTTCCTTATAGATATATTTAACATCAAAAGCTATGTAAACAATTTAAGAAATTGCAATATTTGGAAGAATGAGATAAATGAATTGTTTCTTGTTAACATTTGTTATAAGTAAGATATTAAAATTGTTGTCCAATATATTTTAGGTCACGTAAAGCTAAAATGCTGTTCAACAAGCACAAAAATAGATAGAATCTTATTAACTGGCAGTTTAATTTTGAGCACAGCGCAGTTCAGTCAAATTTTTTGTTAAAATCACTATAATGCAAAACTCCTTCTGGATGAGTGGGTGAGGACTGACTTAAAATTAATGTTTAAAAAAAGATTTTTAAAAAGAGTTTTTTTCTCGTCATTGTTATCAGCATGTTCAAACTTTTTCCGAATTTAGCAAATTTCTGCATCCACCACTTTTAATTTATCATTCAGTTTCAAAATGACATTGTACAAATTTTCTCGGTTTTCATGATGTTTATTCCCATGCTCACATATAAGATTTTATTTTGTATTGACTGCCAAGCTTCCAATAAATGTCTCTAAATTTGCGAAATAAACACTTTCATAACATTCTAAATCTCTTTTCTGCTATATTTGTAAGATTTTATTAACAAGTTGAAAATCTTGAAATGAGAGAAGCTTTTAAAAATTACATTGAAATAGTTACCTTAAATTTGAAATCAGTAGTTTTACCATCATTTGTAAAAGTATTCTTCCAAAAATATCTTAAATAATAAGTTTTCATAATTTATCAAATCCATCTAATCTTTCCTCACTTTCCAAAATTTGATTTGAATTTTGAACATTTGTATTATTTCTCCAAATTTCTTCTACAACTTTTATCTTCATACACTTGCACTATTTATTGGAGTTGCCATGGTGATAGAGTAAATAGATTTTCCCTTAAACCTCAACCCTAACTGACTCAATGACAAACAATTTGGCATTAGAAAGTGTCATAACTCTCAGTTTAGTTCTAATATAGTGTAAATTTAATATAAAAGTATGTTACGCCAAAATATAGTCTTAATTGGCTTGAATGTGAGAATATTTTTATGAATTGAATGATAAATCGGTAAAAAAAATGACCTCAAACAAATTTTATACTTTTTAAAGTTATAGAAAAAGTAGTTTGATAATTAAGTATACCTTGAACAAATTGAAATTCAATAGAAAATGACATATATCCTGGATTTAGTAATCCTAAATTTAGCTCAGTTCCAATTTCAATATCTTCATTTGTTAAATTCACCGAAATAATCTGTTTTTTTTTTAAAATTTAGTTTGCAAATTGAATTATTTTGCTTATTTAAATGCATTACAGATTCTTTGCTATTAGAAAGAGCATTGGCTATCGCGTGACCTTGACCTTTCTTACTAATTATTGCAGGAATATCATTAGATTCAATTTTGATGGGTTTTGATTTCAAGTGAAAAATTTCAATTCCGTAAGATCCAGTAGATGACAATTCAATCATATCTATGAGTTTATAGGTGACTAAAGCATTGTTATTGACCATTCTCCAAACAGAAATAAACTCTGTTTCATTGAATTTTCTAAAGAATTTAATAGATTTAATGTAACCTTTACAAGGAAAATTGATGTATGTTAAAAAGAGTTTCATTTCCACTACACAATTCATTAGATCCAATATCAACTAATTTGGTAAGTAAAAATTTAAAGAATTTATCAAAAATTGCTTTCGTTTTTACTTACCAATGTAATTTGTCAGATAGAAAAAGAAAAAAAAGTGTTTTTCTGTCATAGCATTTTCCTTTCTCTGCCTTAATTATATAAAACGTCTTATTAATCGGAAATATTTTAATTTTTAATGTATTTCTAAGCAATAATTATGAAATTGCTATGGAAACAATCAATTTTGATCAACAACACATCCAATACAAAACAATTGGTATATAATGATTGTTAAATGTGCCAACTCTCCAAGTCAACTGGAAATCACCACCCAATGAACCATCATGGTCGACTTAGCAATACTAGATGAGAAATTGGAGGAACAGAGAAGAACATTCGAAGAATCAAATGCTCAATTTAGAGTTGAGATGACAAGAACATTCAAAGAATCGAATGCTCAGAATAGGATTGCAATGGAACTACTCTTTCAACTGGTCAATTCCATTAAGCTCAACTCTTTTAAAGAAAATCTGTTGAATTCTGGTGATTATCCAGAAGCTGAACATTTCCCAACTGTCAAACAATGAGTTGACAGAAGCTATTCAACTATAATCAATTAAAGGAAAAGCAAGAAAGAATGACAGTATATGAGACAACAGTACAAATTCCAGTGTATGGTAAATCAACAAATCAGAAAAATACCACCCTCATCTACACTGGAGCAACAGTGTTCCTGATCCGCAGACAATATCTAGAAACCATATCCTGCAACTCAGTAGCTGAAAGTTGTTGCCGAATCGATATATCATACATCAATAATGAGTTACAAACAATAGCTGCAGAAAAAGTCAAAATTGCATTCCCTAAATTGGGGTGTAAATATGAAATCGACACTTACGTGGTAGATTCACTATCTACCATACCCAAACAACCCGCTATAAAAATCCACTGCTTCCAAGCAGTTGAATAGATCTACTTACTGGACATAGCCTAAGTCAAGATAGACCACATGCCCATCTTGGTCCTATAAAACTATATACAACCAAGGACTATACCTTCATACAAAATGCTCTTGGATGGTTCAGAACTACCTCCCTTTATGATGTGACATCCCATTCGGGTATAAATGTCAATATGGTCTATGAAGAGACCAAACTGAATGTCAACCATATTGACACAATAATTGAACTGCCCGACATGAACAACCTTGAAATAGACCCCCTCAGCTCTATTAATAACGCTTGAGCAAGTGACATCATGGCAAATTACATACAGCTGACTAAAGCACATTAGACCTTCCCTCTCCCTTTCAAATACGATCCAGATGACATCAGTGCAAGAAATAGATTTCAGACTATCCATTGGAAACCCATTTACAATTACGAATACAAGATAGGATCCCTATTCAATAATCATTATGCTCGGTGATTGTTACACAAGGAAGGTAAGTTTTACTTGCCTGATCATGGCATATCTAATCCAAACAAGAAAACAATAAGAATAGTCTTTGACAGTGCCACAAAATACAAGGGTTATTCCCTAAATGATACACTTCTCACTTGACCTTCCTTACTGTCAAACCAAGCTCACCTCCTTACATTATGGCAAACCCAACCCTCTTTTATCCTAGCAGACATCAAACAGATGTTTATGAACATACATGTGGACACAAAACACCAACCTTACTCCATTACTAATGTGTGGATAAATACTCAATCCACCTTGAATATCAAGCTCATTCAAGAACCTATCAAGGTCCTAGGACTCACATATATCTCAAATTGAGATTAGATTGAAGTCAGTCTACCAAACTGAGCACCTGAACACATAACAAAATGCCTTTTTTATTCCCTCATCATTAGCTATTTAAACATACCAATTCATAAGAAAATTTATAAAGAAAAACATACAAATGATGAGAAGAAATTGTATAATGAGTATGATAAATATTATTTAAAACATTTTGGCATAGATTCAGGTATGACTGATATAGAGAATGAAATTGTGCGTCTAAATATAATGACATATCAATATTTAAACTTTAGATATAAAGGTACATTAGAAAGACTTCTATTTCATAGGAATTAGAATGGTGCAACTGTAGAAATACTTCTATTTTGTAGGAATTATAATGGTGGAACTTTAGAAAGACTTTTATTTCGTGGAGTTAGCTTTTAGTACTTTAGAAAGAACTCTATTTCATAGGAAATAGACTCTGACCGTAACAGATGGTGGCTACTTGAAAATTAACCAAGGAAGAAAGAACATGGAAAAGATGCATGTCAAAGTAGTTACATCTTATTCAATACCATATGCTAAAGATGCAGGCTTAGTTTGCAGTGGCACATGTTCGCCACATGGGCCTAATCTGAAGATTTTATTTTATATGTGTGACATAATAGTCTTTCATATTTTTCTTACTTGAGACCATCAGATTTCAACTTTGTAAGCCTTTGACCAATTGAACCCAACCTTTGGCAAATGTATAAGAGAAAATGCATATCCCCAGCTGGTCAGTTCAGTTCTTTAACCATTAACTTGTTGTTTAAACTTACTTGTTTAGAACTAGAAACTAATTTACTCAATACATATTCTTTAAACGAAATACTGGCATTTTGTTGCTTAATTTCTATGGAAATTATATATGTTAAGACTATTTGTGGACGAACTTGAAAGGTTCTATTTGGAATTGTACTTTAGTAAGTTGGTAGATGATTGGAAAGGATGATTACAGTTGTGACAAACCACGAATTCCTACAATTTCAATACAAAAAAGTACAAAAACTATATTACTATTCAACCACTACTGGTATGCCTTAGCCCCTTAGTGGGTATAGTTTAACCAAGTTATGGTTTGACCTCCATTTGTAGACTAGACTGTACTCTTAGATTGAAACTCATTTTTTCAATACATACTCTATGAAAAATTAACTTTTCAACCCCAGAGGCCAAAAGGCAAAGTTCAAATGCCTTTTTCCTTATACAGTATAGGCAAAAAGTCCCAAGCCACCTTGTAAAATTTTTAGCTTAGATATTAAGATATACAGAATAACTACTTTTAATTGATAATAATACTGATTAATAAAGTGGACGACATGTATATATGGACGCCGTAAATTTTGCTAGGCCAATTTTTAATTAAGGGTTTGTACTTTCCTGCTGAGGTTGTAGGTAAGTACTGGTCCAAATAGAACCGAACCAGGAGTAAGCCACTTAGAAGAGAGATGTAGAATTGATGAAGGATGAATATAGAACCAAACTGTAAGAATAATATAACTGTATTCTAAAGTAATACTAGACCTGTTCACTAAGGGAGTTGATTCAGGACTGAATGCCTGTTACTGCCTACGCCCTGCTTTTATACAATTACTTATCAGTTGTTTATGCCTTGGCTGTCAACAACAAGGGTCTAACCCCATATAAGGATTGTTCACAACAAACAGGGTCAAGGGTTATCATATTATGCAATAGTGATGTAAACAACAACAACTTTGTGTAGGTTACCCATCAAGGGTCAATTCTTACATCATATTTATGTAAATAAACACTTGTTGTTGTTGTCAACATGTTTGTTATGTAACATCTTATCCTTTGCCTATAAAAGGGGTTGATTCTGGCAGTTGGGTACCATCTACCCTAGAGGCAACATCTACTTCAACACTTCTACCATATAGTAAGTATCATTTATAAAATATCTATAAACTATAGTTCATAAGTGTACAGTTAAAATTGTTTGTCATCTGCAAATTAGTATTTTTTGTCTAAATTTATATAGAAAAAGAGTTAAATTGACATAATATTGAAAAAAATTTAAGAAAATGATAATATTTTGTGAACATTATTGGTAAAAATTTTTAATGATTTTCATAAGTTTTTTCTTTATTTGGCCACGCGACATGTTTATTGAAACATTGAGTTGACATCAGGTTTGACATTCAAATAGACGTCTCAAACAAAAAATTTTTCAACTTTTTTCCTGTTTTAAGTTAAGTTAATTAGTTATTGAATATTAAAAATTACTGTACATAATTTATATTGTATTTTTTTAATTTTGGTTTGGAGTCAAGATATAAGGGATTTGGTAATCAAGAAATTTAGCGAAATAGGGAAATTAAGGGCAACAGCAAGAGTTTTAGGAATGGCACCATCATCAGTTAGTAACATATTGAAGTACAAGCAGCCAGAACAAGACAATAGGGGAGGTCCGAAGAAGCTTTCTGACAGAGAGATAGCGAGGATGAAAAGAATTGTAAAGAAACTGAAAGATAACAAGCAAAGAGTGACAGGGTTAGTTAAGATATTAAAGGAATTAGAAGTAGATGTAAGCATGAGAACAATACAGAGGGAGCTGAAAAGACAAAATTTCAAATATAAAAGAGTCAGACAAAGAACTGATCTCACCTCCATAGACTGTAAACGCAGAAAGGCGTACTGCCTCAAAGAAAAACTGCTGTTTTAAAGAAATTTATATAAAATTGCAAGTTTAACCTATTATTAAACACTAAAAAAATAAAAAAAATAATCTTTTTTCATCACGAAAAAGATTTTTAATATTTGGCCTATAAAAATTTGAGGTGTTCCAACATACCTGTCATCCACTTTATGTATAAACTAATATCCTTTACAAAAATTATCAAAAAATTGTTTTTCTTTTATAAAATCGAGTTTTAGTAATTATACCTTCAAAAGAAGGGGTTAGTTAAAAATGAGTCACCATCTATTTAATTAAATATTTTATGTTAAATCTACCTTAGGACACTCTTACAATTTATATACATGAATTATTATAATATTTTATGAAAATACAGAAATAATACTTTTAAACCTTTTTAATATTTGGTATGACCATCCTTATTGAAAAAAACACAGCTGTAGCCTCTTTCTAAAACTATTAAACAATTTTTCAACATATTCAATTGGAATATTGTCAAATTCTTGCCGTGTTACTCTCCATAGATGTATACCTCTGCTGCCATCACTTTTTATAAAACTCCATATATTTAGGGAACCATTTGCCTCTTTAAACATTTTTATGGCATATTTTGCCTTATATCTATCAGCTGGATGCCTTATGGCAAACTGCTTGTGTTTTGGATATAAATCTATCCTTGTCTCATCCAAAAAGACAATTGAATTAATTTGCTCTGTGTTCCAAGAGAGGAGTTTTTTACAAAACTTTCTCCTATTTATTAAATGCCTTTTTTTAATAGGGTTTTTTTTGCTGCAACATAGCCTCTCAAGTTGTGTTTCCTTAAAACATTCTTGCAAGTAGATAGGGATATGACTGATGCTAGTCTAGAGGCTGATAAAATTTTTTTTGCACCCCACAAAGGATTTCTGATAGATATAAGGCATAATATTGTCTCATCTCACTTGCTTAATTTGACTGGCCTGCCACATCTGGGTAAATCTTTAATTGTGCGATGTTATTGAAACTTTTTCCAGATATTTTGGGAACTGAACCTCAAAATTTTCAACATTTTGGCAATTTTATTCAATGATAGCCCTTCTTGGTGTTTTTCAACAACCAAACAATAAATTCCTTTATCAATGACCACCATTTTCTTGAATAACCAAATATACAATT